GAAGAGGGGACATATGTTGATGTAGAAGAGACATGAAGAAGAGGAGACACATGTTGATGAGGAAGAGGGGACACATGATGAAGAAGAGGGGACACATGTTGATGTAGAAGAGACATGAAGAACAGGGGACACATGTTGATGTAGAAGAGACACATGTTGATGTAGAAGAGACACATGTTGATGTAGAAGAGACATGAAGAAGTGGATTTTGCATAATAGTTGACCTTGAAGACAACAGCAGTGTAATGACTCTGTACCTGCAGCAGCTCGATGGCCCGGCTGTGCTGCTTCTCTCGGCACAGCTGAGCCACCTGGATCAGGACCGGCCGGGGGTGACCCGGGTTCTGAGCCTGGAGACTGGACGACAGCTTCCTGCACTGCTCAGCCTGTGGATGTTAATGCACACACATGATCCTGATCAGCAACAGGATCTCACATTCTGAGAAGTCAGCCATTCCTGTTCTCCTCTTGATGTGAATGCAACAGCTCTTCATCTACCTGGTTGGTGTACATGGCCAGCAGGGATTTGTTGAAGTCGATGGCCTGCAGCTGCTTCTTGGCCAGCTTGTACTCCACACCTTCAGCGTTCGTCAGCTTCACCTTTTTCTTAGAGTCAAACACGTTTTGGTCCTACGGAAACAGACAGCTTTCATTAAAACACATTCAATTAAAACAGTATTTTGCTTATGATTTATGATGAAATAGTAGCCAAATGTACTGTGTTTGCATGCAACACTTGTAGTGCTCTATAATTCCGTATATGACAACAGGGTCATGTTAAAACATTATTCACTTAGGACATTTGGAATAAGCCTTTATTATGTGTAGGATTTCCCAATAAACACATGTGGGATATGCAGATAGTTTTATGAGCATGCAGTGTTTCCGCCAGACCAGGGCAGCGAGGGCGCCCACCCAGAGAGCGAGGGGGGGGGGGGGGGGGGGGGGGGTGACGTCACGTTGTGTCACGTGACTTGAATTGAGCCGTCCCTTATAGATACCATCTCTTTACGTATTAGTGATGGGATATCCGGCTCTTAACCACAGAGCCTCTGTTTCGCCGCTGCGAGGCTCCACTAGCCCCCCGCCAAGGCTCGCCGGCAGAACACTTTCCGTCACAGGAACACGCTTTCCTGGCAGCGAAAAGAATCCTACCAGCAGAGACTCCTTTGCCCCTCCAACAGAGGGGTGTCCTGGTCCTTTTTCCTTTTCGTCACTTCAAGCGATAAAAACTCTCGATCTTCTCTGGAATTTCTTATTTTTTTGGACTCCCTCGGCTCGAGTTCAGGGTGACGTCAAATGACGGCAAGACGCCCCCCTGGCGGAAACGCTGTGAGCATGTATACATTCGGGTTATGCTTTTCAATAGTGTTTTCTTTGCGACACAAAGCCTTTTGCCTGTTTATGGTCAGCTATTTGTGTTATTCAGAAAACCATTTCATGTCTGTTGTAAAAGGCTTAGTAGTAGTAATGTTGTCTTTTCCTCAATCAGGGCAGAACTTGGATTATTTTGGGCATGTAAATGTTGGAGCGTCAAACACTCACCTTGTTTATTGTAATGATATTGTTGGCAGTCACAGCGAGCAGCCCCACGTCTGATGGCCTGCGAATAAAGAGCATGGAATATTCATTTAACAGCTCCACTGTTCACGCACTAAAAACTCACAGCTTATGTATTGACTTGTGTACATCTACGCCAGTAACAAGTTAACAGGCATTTCCATACAATTACAATCACATTTAACTAGGATAGACTATATTTATTTAACATGTGCTACATCATTTCTCTGCTTTTGATGAACTCACTTGAGCTTGATGACCTGGTTGTAGAGCTGCAGAGCCTCGTCCGTCCGGCCCTGTAACTGCATGACGTACGCCATCTGAGAATGGATTACAGCCAGCTCTGACTCGATGTCCTCCTCAGTCACATCCTGAGAGGGACAAAACAACAACCAGTGATTATCAGGAGGGTATTGAAGACAAGCGTGGGCTTTGTTGTGCATTTAGTCCAAAGAAAAACACCATATTTAATTCATTTGTGTATATTCTTCTTGTTTCTCTTTTGGGGTATTTAGAAATGTGGCGGCTGATTTACCCACGCAACTTCCCTCAAGATAAAACTATTCTACAAGATTATTGCCTTTCACAATTCTTTCTTTACATATATTAAGAATCCATTTTCATTATTGTCCACTTGATTATCTTTCGACATCAATCCACATACATAGTGCATCACATCGTCATCTACAAGCATCTTCTACCAATAATGAATAAGGCTTGATAAAACCAAAAGCAGCACTCACAGAATCCTCTGCCAAAGACACTCTGCACAGCTCTGTGAAAGAAACACAATCAGTTCACGTCAAACCAAAGAATTGATCAAATAGAAATCGGACAGAAACTCAGATCAGAGAGAGACTGACCCTCCGCTTCCTGTAGTTTGCCCAGCGCCTCTGTCAGCTGTCCTTGACCAATCAGAGCGCAGGCAGCGTTGTAGCACAGCTCATACGTGGACTCAGGGAGACCCAGATCCTCCTGTAGCAGAACACGCAACACATCTTCTTAGTACACAATACATGCGTGTTGAAAAATAAACAAACTACATTTTTTTAAATGTTGTTAAAGAGCTTACCAATGGCGCTTCCTCCCACTGACTCATAGACGCCACCACAGCAGAGAGGTTGGTCTTCCTCTCCTCCTCGTACTCGTCCTGGGAGTTTCTGATGAGGTCAGTGTAGACGGACTTGCAGTCATCGTAGCGCTCCATCCTGTACAGCTGCAAAATAAAGAGAGAGACACTTACTATCAGCAGGAGTCTTTGAGAGGTTGAGAGAAAACCTTTGATGCTTTTCCATCACATTCACAAACAAAGAGCTGGGTAGGAACACCGTCTACTTTCAATATACATGGTTTAAAAGCTAAGTCCACAGATCAAAGACATCCAGCAATAATTAGATGCCGTTCAGCCTCACCACTTGACCATAAAGCTCCTTCAGCTTGTCTGTCTGCTCAGGAGCAGACTCGATGGTCTTCAGGGCGCTTTCCACTCGGTTCAGACGGTACTCGCAGTACGCCTTCTCAAACACAACGTCACTGAGAAAGGAGAGAGATAAACATTATTTCAGTGGGGAGATGGAGCCAACTGCACGACAAGTACTCACGTTATTGTTTGTGTGTAAAAAATGTATTCAGTTATGTATATTGTTGAACAGTTTTGATAACATTAGCATTAACGTACAGCATTAAAACAACGTATAGGTTGTATTTTAAATAGGCGAGCAAGTAGGTGTTGTGACAAATGTATTTATATAAATATATCTGATAGTACTTCAGTGCCTGTGCCCCTCGAGTATTAAATGAATGTAGGCTTGCCGTTACAAGTGAGTTACTATTTTGGAAGAGCTAGGATTTGTGTATGTCAGTTATTACTTGTTTTCCCCTCTATAAAGCACTTTTTACTGCTTTTGTACAAGACTGTGCTCTACACATACACTTGAATACGGTCTATAAGAGTCAAAACATTTAAGAAAAACAGAGAAATAGTATATTACCCGCCGAGCAGTTTTGAATGAGTGTTCATGACATTCAGCGCCTCTTTGAAGCTGCCGTTCTGAACGAGGCAAACTAATTTACAGTGAAGAGCAGTCACATCCTCCCTGTTGTCTTGCACAACTGTGAACAAGATAAAACAAAGCAGATTAAAGAGATTTTCAAAGAGTGTGTCTTAAAAAAAGAGAGCTTAAATCACGAACAAGTGTATTTCTATAAAAATAAACCAAATCAGACAGAAGGAGAATACATAGAAATAATGAATTGAGAAAAGGAATCCTGATGAAACCTAACCTTAAAACATGTTGTCTTCTTAAGTATAACAGTGCATATTACCTGCACTATAATATGAAAATACCCCAATAAAAAATGAAAGGAAACTAGTGTTTCCACTACACTAGTTTGATTATAATGTTTGTATCATTAGTAGGCTAAATAATAGAAGGAAGGACTGATTTAGTGCTGACGGAGAACAGTATTATTGAAAGAAAAAATGTTTCTAAAGGTCTGGTGACAGCTGACTGAAAGCTGGTTAGCATTATGATTAGTTAGCTGTAAGGCTAGGGACACGTCACTAGTCAAGACAGGACCACGCATTTCTTCAGCTAAATACTACTTTATAAGGTCACATCAAATCTACACACACTCGATGCATGTGTAGCCACGACACTCAAGTATACATTTATGAATATACTTTTACCATACAAAGCTAATTGCTTGTTTGAGAGACCTGGCAAGTACATGTGTAACCACCATTAGCTTAGCCACATGCTAACAGCTGGTCATGCTGTTGGCCCTAGCTCAGCCACTGAAGAAATAGACAGTTTTTCCACTGTTTACCAGCAATTACAGGTTTTGTTTGAGAGTAGCAAGGAAAGATGTGAATACGTACTTTTAGTCACAGCTTTAAGGGCTCTTGTAAAGTCTCCATTCTGCCCACAGCGGTTCACTTCGGTCCACAGCGAAGCGACCGAGATCCCTCCGCTCGCCATCTTCGCTGAATGGGCTCACAGAGTCTGCGGAAGTAGAAGCTGTACACATCCAGGTAAACAAGAATTCTGTATATTTATTTTATTTTATTTAAATAAATACTCAAAAAGATTATTAATGATTGACCACGACTTCATTCTATAATGTAACTTATAATAATAATAATAATAATTCTATATGTGTGTTACATTCGGGCAAATGATGCCTTCATAGCCAACGTGAAAAGTGAGGCTTTCGTATAGCTGCCATAGTAGGCAGTTAGTAGTAACATCGTTTATACATTGCCTCATAATAATGAAGACTTTCTTAGTGTCCGACACCAATTTATGTCAAAGTTGTAATTGCCGGAAACCTATTCCCCTCTCATTGGCAATCAACAATAAAACTACAAACAATAATTCACCTTTATTTAATCAGGTTATTTCTGTGATAATTTCATAATTCCGAACTTTATTCTAGCTCCTGAAGGCAGCACTGCCGGAGGTTCGGTCGGACTCGTCATCTCTCGGCTTCACTCGGAGGGGGGGCACTGTTGTCATTCGTCAGGGCTGTGAGTCGAGTTTTTGTCCAGGAGAAATGGCTGGGATTAAAGGTAAGCCAATTCCACTTTTCATTCCCTCTAGAAAGCCTCTACATTCCGGCTCAGTTAACGCCACTTTGACCCATCATCCTGTAGAAAGATGGATGCGTTTTCCACGTCCAGCTAGCTAACTGTAGCGAATAAGGAGTTAGCAGCAGGGCCGGTGTAGCATGCCAAGCCGGCCGTTGAAGCCGAATGTTTGAATGACGTAGTGGCCAAATGGTGGTACTACAACGGCCGTGACGTCATGTTGGCCCAAAATACTCTTATAAATAATAATAATAATACACTTAATGTATCTAGCACCTTTCATGCACTATGCAGCCCAAAATGCTTTACAGAGCAAGACAAGATACATAACAGTAACAATGAGTACAAATAGGAAGGAACAGAAATAAAAACGTTATATAAAAAGTGATATAAAAAGTTAAAAACCAACAAAAAGGGTTGGATCAGAGAAACAACAAAACAATGATACAACTAAAACTTGAAATAGCTTTATTAGCATGACCATAATGACATACAGTATTGCCTAAGCTTTGTACAATTGCGACATCTATACATAAATATACATTTTAAATGTACTATTACATTCATAAACATTTTAAACAAATGCAAAAACACGTTTTCTTTACAAGGAAAATATACTTTTTGAACATGGACTAGAACATTTCATAAAAAAAACTCATAATAGAACAAGTTAATGTGAGTTATTGGTTATTGTATTTCTATTTTTTAAAACTGAATCCAGAGTTATTTTCTCTTTCAATTAATGTTACTGAGCTAAGAGCAGGGGAATAGGAGGCGGGGCTTAAGGGGAAACTCAACTGCGCATGCTCAATGGGCCCGGGTCCCCTGATGATCCGGGTACTTTCTGAATCTACAGTCCCTTTATTTTGAGCTTCACGCGCTACTGAGTAACTCATAGCAATGAACGGGGTATCCAGTTCTCTTTATACATCCATGCAGTAGAATCGTTAGCATTTTAGCCTTTATTCATTTGCCCAGGAAAATCCACAGCAACACAATGAAATGCACAATAACGTTATTTGACACTCAAGCAGTTATGTCATGTTACATAACGATGGTGTATTTTATTCCCCATCCTCTTGTAACAGTGTAATAACGTGGTTAGGTAGATACCGTTAAAATGCTAATGCTAGCTGCACCCTAACTTGATTGAGATGCTGTGCTTTCTGCCGTGATCTGCCGGGATTATGTTCTGATAAACCAGCATGTAAACTCACTGTAATGCTCCCAGAGTTTAACACGAGTCCCTAATGACCCGGCTTAGACTGCAAATGAAGCTGTTACACGTTAAATCAGCTGATTCATCACATGAGAAGCTGCAAGGATGTGATGGCAGTGGTGGTGGATAGTAATATAGTACATGTACTCAAGTATTGGAAGTAAAATGTTGAGGTACTTGCAGATGTGGAAGAAATACTCAGATCTTGTACTTTAGTCCAAATTAGATCTACTAGACTTTTGCAATGCAGGAATTTTACTTGTACCTGAGTATATCTACTCTCTTGCAAATGTTTCTCAAGTAAAAGTACAAAAGTAGAAGCATCGAAACAATTTTTTTTCAGACTTTTGGTATACTCAGTACTCATTATGCAGATTAGCACATTTCAGAGTAATATATATGATATGTTTTGATTATAATTATTGATGGATTGATGTGTAAAGGTGCAGCTAGTAGTGCAGGGTAGTGAAATGCTTAATACCCTCCCCTCTTCCTCTCTTCTCTTAGCTCTCATCAGCCTATCCTTCGGGGGGGCCATCGGCCTCATGTTCCTCATGCTAGGATGTGCCCTCCCTGTGTACGAGTAAGTATCATCATCACACACCATGTGAGCCTGTGTGTGTGTGTGTGTGTGTGTGTGTGTGTATGTGTGTGTGTGTGAGTGTGTGTGTGTGTGTGTGTGTGTTGGGGGGGAACTCTTTCACACTTGGCACTCACACACATGCACTCTGGGTGATCCCATCATAGGTTTACAGCTTTAGATGCAGGTGTGGAGCACGGTCGGATTAACCTCCAATATAACTGTTTTCAATGTATTTAAATGTCACTATATAATGTGTTGTTTGTTTTGTTTTAATTGTACGACACTTTGAAATTATATTCTGATATCTAGTTGTTCATGTAGTTGTGTCTTTCATTTTATATTTATGGTGGATAACCCTGAGGTAGAGATGTAAACAGTAAAACAAATAATATCACAATTACAGTGATCAAAATGATGTAAGTATTGTTGAAATATACAAGCATTGATAAACAAATTATTCCGGCACATTTTCACAATTTGAAGGCTTTTGTTTGTGTATCTTCTGCAGACAGTCACCGTCTTTGTTCCAGTTTTCCTCAGCACTTTTATTACAAATATATGTACCACCACTTTCTCGACGCATTCCTCTCGGATTGTTCGTGTTCATAATGTCCACTTAAAGGCAGGGTAGGTAATTCACTTCAGAAACACTTGTTATATTCCATGGAATGCTCTTAACATCCCGATAGCAATGAATATATTAAATACTTTGACAATAAACACATACAAAATATCATCTGGAAGCCGTGGCGCTGTAAAAAGCACGACCAATCATCTGAGCCGGCCCGGCTGAAGTAACTGGATGGCCTGTCAGCCTTCCATCTGGGCACAAACTGATCTCGTGCCCTCATTGGTCATGTGCGCGTTCGTGTGTGTTGGAGGAGGGGCTCTGTGAGGAAGTCTGAAGGAAGAGGCAGATTTTCTCCGGTTGTGTATTTTCAAATTCTAGCGCACTCGAGCTGGTTTCTCCATGCTTACCTTTAAATGACTAACTTATGTTTCTTTTTTCCCTCTTTCTACAGTAAATACTGGCCTTTGTTCCTCCTGTTCTTCTACATCCTGTCCCCCATCCCGTACTGCATCTCTCGGAGGGTGGTGGACGACACAGACTCGGCCAGCAACGCGTGCAAAGAGCTGGCCATCTTCCTCACTACGGGCATCGTCATCTCAGCCTTCGGCCTGCCCATCATCTTCGCCAGAGCTGCAGTAGTAAGTCACAGAAGCCTGTATTTCTATCTAGCCCTCTGCTCACTCCACATGCAATCGGGTAAAGAAATGACTTTCAATCACAAAACACCTCATAAACATGTACAGAGTTTGTAACTCTTGTTTTAAGATAGGTTTGTTAAATTAAACATGACCCCAATGTACTCGAAACCTTCAAGAACTTTTTCCATTTTAAGAGAAGTCTTACTTTATAACACAACAGGACTACATGATATACAAACAGCCCTATCCCATTGAGGAAAAAACAGTCAAACCAGATAGTGAATTAACAAAAATGACTGTAAAAAGAAACGTTTAGCCACATAGCAGAAGCCCTGAAAGACGGAGGTACCGGCTGCAGTTTGACATGATTAGCATTTAGCCGCTGTTAACGTCTCACTCTGAACACAACAACAGCGTGGAAGTGATTCTGTGAACTCTTGCTGTTGAACACCCGGTAGATTTTGCCCTCAATATGCACTGAAGCCTGGCAGCATTCAGCGCAGCATTTGTTAACGTGACTTATTGATGCGTCTGTTCTCAGATCGCCTGGGGGGCGTGTGCGCTCGTGCTAACGGGGAACGTGGTGATCTTCAGCACCATCCTGGGCTTCTTCATCGTGTTCGGATCCAACGACGACTTCAGCTGGCAGCAGTGGTAAACCAGCGGAGTCTGAACTGTTTTTATTAGCATTACAATTATTATTATTATTATTATGGTAAAAACTGTTTGGTTCTTATTGTTGTTATTTATATGATGACCGCCCATCCATTGACTCACACCAAACCAGTGCAATACTTAGTTTCTTTTACCGCCTGCTTCATGTTGAACTGACAAGTGGGATGGAGAATGCTGACTTACAGTTGGATTTGTACTTTTAGTTTTGCTCTTGTTCATTTTTTCTCCATCTCTGTGTTTCATTTGGAGCTGATGAGCGCTGGTGAACAACTGCTTGTTTTATCTGTGAACAAATATGTTAAAATAACCCCAATTGAATGTGGAATAAGACTTAATCTGACCAAAGGGACAGGGTCATACCTTTCTCTATGTAGTAGAACCTCTGGAAAAGCTTTTCCTACACCAGTCTAAGTGTAAATTGCAGAAAACTGACAGAAAATCTGCATCACATAAACTCAGATTACACCACTCAAGCTCTATTTCCATTTGTGTCGAATTTGATTCAAACTAAAATATCTTTTGTCACTTAAAATGTGATATTCCTGTAATAGAGTGCGGATTTAAGTTAGCTTTGTGCTAATGTAATGCTACGATCGCTAAGCTGTGAAAGTCTAGAAGCTCAGTGTGTGTTTTAGACTGTTACCGCTAACAACCCTTCTCATCTCTACACCCTGTTACACGTTATTCCGTTTTCTTTATTTCTTTGGGACCATGTTGGCATTACACGTTGAATCATTTTAATTTCTGCAATCCATAAAAGTCATAAGCTGTCGCCACACAACACAAGTAGACGTTGTTCAGGAGCAGCAGGAGCATCCTCTTTCAACTTAGACGAGGGGATTTGTTTAAACAGCCTCAGCACCACCGCAGAGATCAAGTTAAACCGACTAGGTGATTTCCCAGGCTGCTTAAATATTCACGAGTTATTCTGCATAGCTGTTTCCCCACTCTAATGTCAGGTGAAGAAAACATGAGAAGCCACGGCTCGCGTACAGTAGTTAGGATTAGCGATTGAAACTGAGCCGGCTAAGAACCGGCCGACTTATAACCAGTCACTGACGGCCGCTAAGCTTTTAAACAGGACCCTCTTAAAATAAAAGCATCCAGCGTCTCTGCTCAGTGTAGTTTCCTCTCTCTAGAAGCACATCCAGATTTGTCGCACATTTCCTCACACCAGCATTTCTCATGGTTTATGATTTCTATGTTCTCCGGCCTGTGGGAAGGACGTGTGTAATACGTTGGCAGATTACAGGTGCAGCTCTCCTGTTTCACTGCATTAGGAAGATAAACAAGGAAGTTAGGGTCTGGTTCCCTGTTTAATGGATGGTTCAGTTTGAATATGCGCCCTCTGGAAGACACTTTTATTTTATTTAAATAAGGACTGATGACTGACGAGAATTTGTATTGTGTCCATAATGTCAAATTGAACATTTGCTTTTGTTTTTATGTGTTGTAGGCCAGCCCAGATTTTTGTTGTTATTGTTTCACCGTGGGTTTGCATGCACAGCAGATTTCCAATACAAGTTTAATCCTGCTACAAAGAAAAACTGTTTGCAAAAATGACAAGTGATGGTTTTAGAGGGATTTGTATTAGCTTTCACGATAAACAGTTGTTTGTCAAGAAATAGTTATAGCACAAACAACATTTGGCATTACTGTATCTCAATGTCCTTATCAATAAACCTTAGAAATGTTGATAAGTGGTGTAAAAATAAGAATTTGATAGCTGTTTACTAGCTTTATGCTAAGCTAATCGCCTCCCGGTTCTATACTTGAAGCACAGACATGACAATATCTGTCTTCTCATCTGCATCACATTTGCATGCAATTTCTAAGGAAGAACAACAAGTACAACTCTTAATTTAACCACATTATTTCTAAAATAAATAACAAATTCTATGAGAAAAGCATTGGAAATCTGCAGAGGAATCCCACGGCTAATAAAATGCTAACTGACCCTGGGCCTGGGACTACAATTCGGCATTACTGTAACACTCCTCTTTAATATATATATTTATTCTGTTACGTGACTCTTCCAGAGATCACCCCCTCAGTGAAGGCACTGATTGTATAAAAGCACCATAATAACCATGGCAGCTTTTTCATTTCCAGTTATATTTACCTACGTTAGTGAACATTGAACACTACTGACATGATTTGTGTAATTGTTACGTGACACTGAATCTGATGCTCTGAACATCACGTCTGTTTAACGTCTGTATGACACTGTGGAGTTTAAGCTAAATGTGTCAAATGTTCTCTGACTTTGTTCTGGTGTGTAGCGGTGGGACGGGTTTCTCTGTGTTCCTGTGAAGAGAAACTGATTCGGGGAGGATATTGTATTTATTTATTTTAATAAGGAGGTTTGTGTCAACGAACGTCCAACGCCATTTTCTATCTACAATGTTTCTGTTCAGTAGGCAGAATTCAGCATGTTGGTCTTCTTGGTTTTTTTTGTTTGTTTTTTTAAATAAACGCCATTTTTGAACATCCTCTCCTTTGAATGACTACACTTACATTTGCATGACACTTCACAGGAAATACTAGTATAACTAAACAATTGACTGCTTACGGTTCACTTCCTTAGCTTAGCACTGATGCATGGAAGTGGAAGCTTTCCATTTTGACTACCCACCACATTTAAAACTACACAGCTACTGAAGTGTCGTGGTATTATTTATTTCGACCATTTTTATGGAATTAACATAATCTTTGTTCGACTGTGGATCAAATGTTGCACCTAGAAATAGCATATTTTCTGTATTCAAATGATTTCTTTATTACTAATTATAGATATGAAATGTTGCTCCCTTAAAGTAGAGTCCATCTTGAGGAGGGGGCTGGACTTTGTCTCTCTTCACATTCACTTCTGGTAAAGAGACTATGAGAGACTTCCTGTGGGTGAGGTTGTTTCTAAACTTAAACTTGAATTCCTCCTTAACACTCCAGCACTGCGTTTCAACTATTTGCTTAAAGCTGTTACACACATTTTCATATGAAATATTGGTGAGAAGGCCCATGGATTATAAAGTGAGAATGACGCCTGCAATTGTATCTCCTTCTTAAAACTGTGTGCACTTTATTTCTTCGAGAAAGACTTTATGCAGCAGCCTTTAGAGAAGCATCAAGCATTACTGACCATATGTGAAGAATCACGAGCCCACAGGATGATCTTATCTACATCAGGAAGGATATGCTAACACCTTATCTCTGTTCATCATTAGAGGATATCTAAACCAAGGTGCAAACAATGTGCTGTGTTAAAAGCTGCTCAGTTGTGAGCTTAGTGAAAAAGGGAAGGAAGCCCTCACCGTGTAAAGAACTTAAAAAAACAACTTCCGTCTCCAATATTACATTGCATTTGTTTCTCTGTAGTTCCTGATTGCTCTTCATATGCTGCAGTTTCAGTCTTTCTATTTGCACAAAGTAGAAGAATTTCTCAGAAGCAGATTATCAGTGCTGGATGTGAAGATGGGACACACTTTGCTCTGTCTACGGGGTTTTTTCTGTGAGTACTTTTCCTGTTTTAATTACCATTGATAAAACGTTTTAAATGCCTGAGTTAATATATATTTCTGTCAGTTTGATAATGTCTGATTTAGTTTCATACATATTTCAGTTCTGAATTTACTTTACCGTGGACAAGCTCAAGGTATTTATACAATTTCATACTTTTTTCTACTCATTCTAGACAAATCTCAATGTATAAGAAAACACATTTTACTTTTTGTATCTTGTGATGGTTTCTTGATGCTGTACTGACCATTGAGCCAAACTGGACCACTTTCTTTACCGGAGAGTCTGTTACCTTCAAGTGTGACATTACAGGAGACAAAGGCAGCGACTGGGTTTACTCAATCTACTGGAATGATCAAGAATGGCTTCCTAACAACAAACATGAGAGCTATGAATTACATTCTCTAACTCCAGGCTACAATGGTGCATACCACTGTTTTTTTTATCAGAAGGGCTCAACAAAGAAAAGCAATACAATCTATCTAAATGTATCAGGTAAGTGATCAAAGTAATACCACCATGACCAAGTTCAACACAAACAGTTTTTATTTATTTATGAGCCAGTTTGATGTGAACACGCAGTTTGGACAAGTTCTAATATATAATCTGTAAATGATTGTAATGTTTTAACGGTTGAACAGCTCCACTGACGCTGTATAGGCAGGTGAAGTATACTGTACCATCCTGTGCTTTTCGTTATCACAAAATAATGTGTATTAAAATAAGAATAAGAAGACAGGGATCAGTTTCTTACATCACAGCATTTACATAAAGATAATACTTCACCAACAAACCTTGTTATACTTTATTACCTGTGACAAATGGATTGTTTTCACATTGACAGTTTCTGAGAGTAAGTCATTTATTATCAGTTAATCTTTTTTTTACTGTATATACAAATAGTATTTTGGTTATTATAGTTAAGTACAGTTCACACTTAAATTAGTTTTTTACATACTGTATGCAGCAAATATGTAGGATCCAAGGAGTGCATGCAACCCACCAATTATACATCATAATGTTATCATTCTGTGAAATGTTGTTTTCCAACAGACAGACCTAAGGCTGTCCTCACTGTGTCTCCATCATGGCCGAGTCCTGGAGCCTCAGTAACTCTGGACTGCAGCGTTGATCATCCTTCTGCTGGCTGGAGCTTCTACTGGTATAAGGCTGTTCCCAAACCGTCACACAACTCCTACAACTCCTACGACTATGAGCTGCTACCTGGCAGCGAGAATGGGACCGAACAGCATCTCTTCATCATTGATGGACAAACACACACAGCAGGATATGTGTGCAGAGCAGGAAGAGGAGATCCAGTGTATTACAGTGGGCAGAGTCAACCTAAGTTTGTCTGGTCTGGAGGTCAGTATGTTCTTCCTGTTTCTTTCTTTCTGTAGTTTGTACCACCAGTAGGCCAACAAATGTCTTTGTCAAAGTTTGCCTGGTCTTGAGGTTTGTTTTGACTTTTCCATTATTGCAAAATGGAACAAAGTCACTTATTTTGGGAACTTTTCTTTTACACCAGCATCAGGTCATAGTTCAGTTTTCAAAACCTTTCTCTAAAACAGAATGATGATTGACTGATTCATCTTCTGGACTGAATTTGAACACAAAATAATCTCTTTTCATCCTGACACATGAGTTGTTGTTCGCCATGGTTCAAACCTTAGACTTTGTAAATCCAAAACCTAATAATATAAGGCTTCTACAATACATTAGATATAAGTGGAAAGTGTTTTCTTTATTTTTTTAGTTTGGAATATGTTTTAAGATATTTATCTGCTGGTTAAATAGTTGAAGACATAAACAATACATATAATTAAACACATTTGTAGTGTGAGACTGAGGCACTGGTACTTTCACTTTTGTTTTTTCAGGGTAAATTAAGTGGCAGTTTTGCCATACCAATGCTTTGTCTTTTTCAGTCTGCATGGTTTAAATGTCCACTCTTTGTGTGTTTCAGATTTGAATTCAGCAGCGTCTCTCACAGTGAGTCCTGACAGTGTGCAGCACTTCAGCAAAACGTCTGTGTTACTGAGCTGTGAGGGAATCTCCACTGAGTGGAGAGTGAGGACGTTTACGAAACCTGACTACCTTTATCGCTGTTCTTCCTGGGGGACAATGACTGGATCCACATGCACAATAACCAGAGGCTGGCTTAGTGGAGTGTTCTGGTGTGAGTCTGAAACAGGACAGTTCAGTAATGCAGTCAACATCACTAAATATGGTGAGTTTTAGTTATTTAAAATGTTTGTTTCTGAAGTATTATGTTGTTTTGAAATGTGAAGGTGACAACAAGCATTAGCCAAACGTCTCTTCAAATTAGTAAAACTTCATAAAAAAGGCTAATTTGCGAAGTGATTTCCAGGGTTACTTCTCTCAAAGATCAAAGATAATATTCTGTGTTTAAATGTCCTCATACATCTACCTGACATTTCAGCTTCTGCCAGACTAGGCCAGTTGTGCATAAACATATTAAATCTGCAAAAGCTGATGACTCTGTCAAAGCCTTTATATTCTTTGATTTCTTTTCAGACTATGAAATGATCCTGGTGAGTCCTGTCCGTCCTGTGGCTGAGGGACGTTCTGTCACTCTTAGCTGCAAGTTCAAGACAGGAACGGTTCTTTATAATGTGGATTTCTATAAAGATGACAAACTCATCCAGAACGATACCAGGAAGGAGCTGACCATCTCTGCAGTGTCAAAGTCAGACGAAGGCTTTTATCAATGTAAACGGAGAGATCCAGCAGATGGTTGGACGTCACCAGAGAGTTGGTTCTCAGTCAAATGTAAGTATGATTTAAAAACCCTTCCTTTTTTGTAAGCTGTGTTACAGTATGAGATAAAGAAAGCTTAGTTTCATCTGAATTAAACTGTGTTTGTTTAAGAGAGATGTTTTATACAGTTAATCTATAACAGGAACGTTTAATATAAAATAAAGATTAATAAAGATTACTTTTAGTAGCAGCGTCCGGGCCTGGAAAAGCCTCTCAATTTCCCATTCTTCTGATCGTTGGGCTGCTTGGTGGAGTTGTACTGATTATTCTCCTGCTGCTGTTCCTGTATTTATACAGAAAGTCAAAAGGTGAGATCATTTTCTTCTGATATCAGATTGACTCTAATGTAACCACACGTACTGTTTTAACAGTAGAACACTTTGCAAAACATAATAATATAGCAGCAAATGTCTTCTTTTTTTTACAGATTCATGCTGTATCAGGTTGGTACAACACTCTATTGTATTTCATTATGAACATGAAAGCAGTGATATCTATGTTCCTCTCATAAATCCACTTTATCTTCATGTGTTTTGCACAGATCTCAGAGGACCAATCAGGGCCCTGCTACAGACCACATGATCAACCAGGATGAAATTCAAAACATGCCACAATATTCTACTCTCCTCCATGGTCAGCCATTGTCCGGTTTAATAATATGATTTATTTTAACTTTTGGCCTTAATTGTGATTAAAATGTGGCTTGATTTTCACTTCTCTGTAGGTGATCGTTGTCTCTATGAAACAATAGGAGGGCCTGTAGAAGCTGGAAATGGTACAGTATTTCCTCTGTGTTTAACATGGAGTAATACAAACTACTGCAGTGGCCAGCAGTGTCTAAATAAAGTACAGGAATTGTCCTTTGATACATTATTTTAATCCTTCTAACAGGTGCCAGTAATGAACCAGAAGAGAGCCTTTACTTAAATGTGGCAGCAGGTAATGTAATAAAGCTTTTATAATGTGCTGTGCTGCTTGCCAGTTTCAGCAATGAGCAAATCCACCAAATAAAGCTTTTACACTTTGTGTGCATTGTTATACAGCATGTTGTTTTCCAGTAATGTCTTGGTTTAATGATACATTACTTAAAATATCATAATTATTAAATGGCAAATGTAAATATGTTCACACACAAATGAATTGGCATTAACATACATTGTTTTATTCAAAAATAATAGACAGTACCATGAGCAGAAATGACCCAATGATAATAACTTATTTTGGTTTTCTTCCAGATCAATAAAGACATCCTCATGGACAGAACCAATGGAGCGGATAAAAACATGAAAAACAACATCCTTGTTTCAGCAATTGAGTGTATTTGCTGCTTTTGTGTAAATAGCGCAGTGCCTTTAAAAAAAATGCCTTTCTAGGAACATGGTGAATGCTTTGCAATTCAACTGTACTTTCTGTGTACTTATATTTAGTGTAAAACATTGTACTACCACCTTATCTGTTAAATGTCTGATTCAGATCATGTGGCTAGAACCTCGTTGTACATTGAGTGATATTAGAGCCAGATACTAATATATGCAGTATGGACACATGCTTTAGCACTGTAGATGCACACAGTGGACACACAAATATACTATTAATAAAACCCAAATGCAATTATACCTGCATGTACTGTTCAGTGAATGATTCTTACCAGATGCTACCACAGGGTGCCCACTGTAAGGGAAACTTCTGCAGCAATGGAGAGTCAGAACTCAGAGAGACACGAGGAGAGTTGGAGCTTTGATGTCAAACACTGGTAGTTTATTACAAGTATCGGCCGGAGAATTCATATCACAAGTCACAGCAGCAAGAGGTTCTGACTGCACGGGTGGGTTGCCACATCAATTCTGCCCAGCCTCTCTCTCGATAGACCTTTTAACTAGTTTACAGAGAGTTAATAAACATATTGGGGGAGTTAACGTAAACATCTGGGAACACTGGAGATATCACCAACATCTGGAGGCACTGAATCACTTGCCTGACTCTTAGGATCTGTGACCGAGAGTTGACCGGTCATAAAACTGAGAATAACAGAGTCATGGTAATAAAACGTCAACAGGCAGAAAAGTTAAATATCTTAGGAGTAAGGGAGAATTATTCTCTGACACCCACAAATTATCTAATGCCTTGAATTTATCTGCAGAAGTAGTCTCTTGCAAAAGCCAAAACATCTGAAGTCACAGCACCACTAATAGGTCAAACAAGCTTTTCGGATTCAAAGGAACTGAAGCACACACCTTTTGTACAATGTGTTTGTTTTCTTTCAGATATTTAGGGCCCGTTTTTAGTTTTTTATTTATAAAAATAACTTGGTTTATCTCATCTCAGTTTTAATAATACAAATGTTCTGTATTGTGTGAAGCAGATTAACCAAAATAACTAAGAACATGATGGAATTTCTCATACGCTTGTCACCAATAGAAAAACATCAACCCACAAATCTTATCTTTATTGCATGATTTCAATGCAATCAAAGCAGTAAAGCCTGTCCAGGAAGAAAACAAGGCAGAACATTTTATATTTTTCAAACATGTTATTGTCATTACAATTTTTAAATGGTAACGAAAACATGTCCCACCCCACTTTTCAAATGTGTTTTAACAGTTTTAATTTTAAAATGTTGTACGCAAGCGCTTATCGCCAGGGAGGAGCACATCCTCTGTGTGTGTGTGTGTGTGTGTGTGTGTGTGTGTGTGTGTGTGTGTGTGTGTGTGTGTGTGTGTGTGTGTGTGTGTGTGTGTGTGTGTGTGTGTGTGTGTGTGTGTGTGTGTGTGTGTGTGTGTGTGTGTGTGTGTGTGTGTGTGTGTGTGTGTGTGTGTGTGTGTGTGTGTGTGTGTGTGTGTGTGTGTGTGTGTGTGTAAAGAGGGAGAGCGCACCAGTTACGGGGATTTTTGTTGTTAGCATCTGGTGCTAGCTCAGAGCTAACGGACATTAGAAGCTGTTTCTACAACAAGGAGAGGGAGAGCTCTCGCCTGTCAGACTGACCCCTAGATTCCACCGGGTCCGTCTGCGTCATGTTACGGCTGCGCCGCGGTTTTGGTCCGGCCTCCTCCGGCGTCATACCCTACCGGGCGCGTTTCAGAAGCATTTCAGAAGCGGAGCGTCTTGCCTGCCGGCTCGCAGTTTTGGTTGATTTGGGCATATTTCCTGGACAGGCTACTTTGTACAGACAAAGTTAATAATCTTGTAATATTCCAGTTATAAACGACATGAATCAAAGATCTGTTGCTGTATTTTTGTCGGGTTTGAGTTTTTGTGTGTCTAGTTTTGGGGTTATTTTGCTGTTCTGTCCTCCCTGTCGTTAGTTTCCCTGGTGTGTCTAATTGTCTGATTGTGTTCACCTGTTCCCCTTGTGTTTCTCCTCCGCTGCCCGGCTGTTTCTCGTCTCGTGATTACCCCTCCCTGTATTTAGTCTTGTCTCTTCCTGTGTTCGGTGTTGGTTCGTTATTTGTTGTTCATGTCCCTCTTCATGTTGGTCACCGTCACCTTTGTTTGGATGCTACCTCGTACCTGTTTTTGGATTCTTGTTTTTGTTCAGCTTTTGTTTAATAAAGCTCGCCTTTTGTTTCCTTTTGAAACCTGCTTCCTCCTCAATCTGCATTTGGGTCCTATTTTTCCCCAACCCTGACAGAACGAACCAACCAAGAATGGACCCAGCAGACAGTTTGTACGAGGTGAAGTACAATTTGACATGCTTGAGGAATGACTTTAGATATGCCTCCAGTGGTGAAGAGAGGCAGTCAGGACCTAACCGCCCCCCTAGAGGATATGAGGTCCACCTCCACTTAAAATATGTTCACATGGATAGGCTCCTAAATAGATTTGCACTTTTTTTTAAAATAGTAACCCATGTCCATATGTTTATTCTGGGGTAGTAGATTTAAAGTTTAGGGCTATCACTATGGGCAGCAACGCTGTAAATATTGACAAATAAATCCAGAAAAATGGCACAAAAAACTGGTAGTGGCCTGGCTGGGTGTATAATTCCCGGCCTGACTTATTGTCCCAGTCCAGCCCTGAATTTGCCCATGCATCTATGACGTGCCACAGCGATAGACAAGAGCAGAAAAGACATCACATAACGTTAGCATTTCAAAAATGTTAGCGTGGCTTAATAATAGTGCGAAAAGACAGCGGTTGTTGCCGGACAAGGATTCCCTCTCTCCTTTCCTGCTGAAAGATGCTGAGTGTACTCCGGGACAAGGAGTCATTTAACCAGCCGCCAGTAGGAGTCAGGCTTTAATTTCTTTTATATCCATAAAGAAAAAGTAAATCTGTTTACAGTTGTTTCATATGGATGTTGAGAGGTATCCATATATCTCTTCATTTTGCTCTCAAAGTGCACCAGATTGATGCATCTAACTTCGATATTTAAAAAAAAAAATCTTCTGGTACTGGCACCTTTTGTATTCCAATTCAAGCACTGGGGCTGCGTTTCAATAGTCCATTTAGCTTAGGAACCTTCCTAACGGAGTGAAATGACCCGGAAGTACGTCACTGGCAGCCATGATAAGTGCCGTTCCAATTCTCCAAATTAAAGGAAAGGAGGTTTCAAACTTCCTTTATAACCTCCTTTAGCTTAGGAACCACTGGACCTCCCTTACCGAAAGGAGAGGAGAAAATGCTGCCCCACAATGCATTGCAGCCGCAGCATTTGCCGTCACTCAACAGTCGGCCGTTCACGGAAACAACCGATTATGTCCGAGAAATTATATCATGAAAGTTACGGTGCTTATTAAGCATTTTAAAACGTATGTGGTCATTAAGTTGCCAAAGTGCTTTGTTTTGAACGTTCATCCGTATTATAATCAAAGAGAAATATGAACGTTAGTTTTTACTGAAATTATCAAATAAAGTCAACATCTCAGTCTTCACTGAGCTGTGTGGGGTTTGTTCAACTTTTAAAAGATGTTTGAATGGTGATATACACAGTGATAGATGTTAAGGACTAACGTTTATAATAAATACATTTATTATTTTAAGATATTTTCATAGTTCATACAATCATACGTAATATTAGGATCATTTGTATTAATGTGGACCGGAGGGAGAGGGTGACGAGCATAAGTTTCACTTTCCTTTTTTATTTCAATTCCAACTTTGGTCATGAAGAATATGTTTCTCTGTTGTCCCCGTTCATAAAGCATAAAACAACAGCATCAGAGCACGGTGCAGAGTCTCTAGATGAGTTTACAGGAGTCCCTCCTTCTTATTAAACATCCATGTTGTAGTCCGCTGTATAGAAAACTGTAGTTTCCATAGTTTCCCCACAGCAGCAGACGCACAGACGTCCGCTGGCGCATCATAAACACGTCGGAAAGTGAAAGTGCATTCGGATTCTCTAAAGTACCGCAGTCTCTTCTCCTAAGTCCTTTTGAATTCTCCTATCCATTATCCCTTAACCCCGTGACATTTCACTCAGAGGTCAAGGAATAGGAGATAGGGTTAGAACTTAGGAGCTGATTTTTGGATTATCGGAACGCAACCATGGTACCGACACCGGCCCACTTCGGTACCGCTAGTAAATTGTCAACGGGGGGAGTGGGGGATGTGCTAGTGACTTATCCGACCGGCCCACTTCGGTACCGGCCCATCGGGATTCGTCCCGATGGCCAGTCCGCAGGGGCGGATCTACCGGGGTGGCATGGGGTGGCAACTGCCACCCTAAACAATAGCCTTGCCACCCCAGCTGCCACCCCAGTTGGGATCTTTGTTTTGAAAGAAAAGTTGTGGCTCATCGGACATTTATGAGAGAAAGTCTCTAATGTCCGAGTGCAAGTGAATGCAGCACAAGATGCACGTCATGTAACCCCTCCCCCGGTCCTGGCTCCTGGCGCGAGAGTGGAAATATGATTGGTGGCGAATTCACTTGAAGGTGGGGACGGCGCAAAACGAGAAGCCTTTCGGACCCAAGCACTGAAGGAATGAGGTAGGTGCGGTCTACAATGACAGAGAAGAGACTGTCAGTGTGGCTGTACTCAGCATTGAATCAAAACGCACTACAGCTGTTGATCTTAATAAATTTGTGAGGCGTTTTGCTGAACAAAATAGTAATCGCCGCATTCAGCTGTAATAGACATGCCAACTTGATGCTCTGCTCACGGATGACTCGATGAGAATAACAAACTGTTAAGATGATGACCTTGTAAGCGTGTATATATATTTTTCTTTGAGGGGGGTCTGCCCCCAAAAAACAGTTTTAAGTCCTGAGAAAGTAAAATAAGACGGTGTGTAAAACTACACTGCCCAGCCAACAGAAAGTAACCACTTTGATTTAACTAGGCCAGTAGGTAAGGACCTTCCACTGGATAATAACTGCAGCGATATTTTAGCTGAATACACGTTTTTTAACCCTAACTGATGCAGTTAGTCACTTCTTTAATGTTTGCTCTTTCTGATGTAAAGTCAAGGTTGTAACTGTATATCAATAATGATATAATTACTTGTTTTTCAAATTTGAAGGAGGGTGAGCAAGCATCTTGATGAACATTCATCATTAACTCCTCCAAAAAATATAGCTTATTCAATAATAAATGAATATGTGAATCATAACAGTTCTTCACTATATCTGTAAAGCGTCTTTGAGCACCTGTAAAAACGCTAACAAATTAAAT